GACATGCTTTTCTAATAAACACTTTTTTGGTTCAGGCTAGAGATCAGAATACTTTATCCTTAAAACATATCTTCTGAAGAATTAATTTTACATATTCCTACAAAACTGCCCTTTTTTTATAGTACTTCCTTTATAAACTATCAAGCCTTACTTATACAGTATATAGTCTAGAAATACTTTTGGGAAATCTTAGTATATCTTTCAAGTTTATGAAAATGTGTGGAATATCATACCATAGACATCCTGAAGAATAGAGCTATGGAGGTTTGCAGAGTGATGCCTGAAACTGCTGTATCAGCATCTGAGCTTCAGGTGAAAATGTCGTTTTGCTCTGACTTACTGTAATACATGAAAGTAACTAGCTTTAGTCTAAAGAGCACTTCCCGCTTAAAGTTCAAAGGTAGGGCTTGTTGTCTTATTGCTACATTAACAGTAGTTAATTCTTTTTGTTAATCTTAAAATATTTTTCCAGGAATTTGAGGCATATTAAAATAGCCTATGTAATTTTAAAAAGTGAAGTGGTTTGCAGCATGTTGTGACTTCAGAGTGAAGCAGAAATGTCATATCTTATGTTCATTTTTTCACTTCTGCCTTTTCAGTATTGTTAAAAATGTTAAATGACATAATAATATTGGAAGATAGTCTACTATTAGGGAGGAAATGAATGTTTAGTACCTTTTCACAAAGTCAGAATGGAATTGTCTTCCAAAATACCAGGTTTTTATTTTGCTTATGTTATGTACCAGCCTTCTATAAAACAAAATAACAGATAAAGTAATGAGTACTAAGAACTGGACTGCAGCAACATCAGTCACTGTATTTCAGTTTGCGTTTAGTTTTTTCAGGGATAGCGGATTTAAGGGATACGTGTTTGAAAAGCAGAAAGACATATATGTATATAAAAAATTCAAATTGTTCCATGTTTTGCTTTAAGAATCTTATTTGATTTTGTGATGTAAGAAGTTTTTTTTTTTTCTAATGTTGTATAGGAGAAACCAATATCATGCTACAGTAGACAATTAAACTGTTTTGAATGCTTCCAATGGAGGATGAGCTTTGTTGCAGAAGATGTAACAAATCTCATCCATTTGTCCATCTTTCAGAATAGTTCTGCTTTTTGTAAACTATCTAATGCAATTTGATCTCTGCTTTCTACTAAAAGTGTGTTATAAGAAATACCCTATTGAGTTAGGCAATTTAGCACCTTTTTTTTTTAATCCTCTGACAGTGGCAAAAGGGGTGCCATTTGGGAAGAGCTGTGAGTTTGACCACTTATTCCCCTCATTCATAGCTGTTCTTTGGGGATTTTAGAGGTACGCACATCTGTCCCCTTTAAGGTGCGTTTATAGATTTGTTGTCCATGAATTCATCCATATCCTTTTTGAACAAGCTGACGTCTCCCTCCATAACTTCATCTGGCAACTCGTTCTGGAATTTTGCTGCTTGCTGTGTAAACCAGTCGTCTACCAGCTTCATTAACCCCAGTTCCAGTTTCACAGGGTTTGGTGACAGCTCTGCATTGCCTTTATCTGCTGCCTTCATGTTTTTTGGTGTTTTGTTTTTTTCCTGAACTGCGACTGTACTCTAGTAGCTATTGTGCTGCCTTCAGAGCATGTTTAACATTTGTGCTTTGCGCAGTGGCTTAAGAGGTCAAATGTTCTTGTTTGTAATTACCCTGCCAAAGAAAGAGAGTTTATATATAATTTTTGTGTGTGTGTATTTGTGATGGTTTAACCCAGCAGACAGCTAAACACCACACAGCTGTTCACTCACTCCCCCCGCCCCCCCGTGCGAGGGGGGAGAGAATCAGAAAAAAGGTAAAACTTGTGGGTTGAGATAAAGACAATTTAATAGCACAGAAAAGGAAGGGAAAATAATGATAATGATAAAAGAATACACAAAACAAGTGATACACAGTGCAATTGCTCACTACCTGCTGACCAATGCCCACCCAGTTCCTGAGCAGTGGCCCTGCTCACCCCCGCCCCCAGCCAACCTCCACAGATTTTTGTTCAGAATGATGTCATATGGTGTGGAATATCCCTTTGGCCAGTTTGAGTCAGCTGTCCTGGTTGTGTCCCCTCCCAGCCTCTTGTGTACCTCCAGCCTCCTCGCTGGCAGGGCAGTATGAGAAGCTGAAAAGTCCTTGACTTAGTGTAAGCACTGCTCAGCAACACCTAAAACATCAATGTTTTATCAACGTTATTCTCAGCACAAATCCAAAACACAGTGCTATGCCAGCTACTAGGGAGAAAATTAACTCTATCCCAGCTGAAACCAGGGCAGTATTTTAAGAAAAGAACATAACACCAACATCAAATATTAACAGTTTTTACTTTGGGGAAGTAGAGAATACTGTAGAATCATTTTACTTTTATGCACTTTTCATTAAACTTGCTTCCAGGCAGCGTTACACTTCTGAAAATTAAAGTCTCTTGACCTGAACTTCATTATTTCCGTTATCGTTCTGTTGAATGCAGGCAGGAATCTTTTTGCCTAGCTAAGGGGCCATTTTCCTAATTTATTAACACTGAGTTTATTAAATGGTGTCCTCCTTAGGTAGTCATGACCCTCTTATCCTACATTCAGTGAAGCTCGTTTAGAAACTCGGGTCTTGCGAGTCTAACTTTTCTGAAGTACGAATATGCATGAGGGTGGAAAGCAGTCCAATGTCTAAACTAAAAATTCTCTTTATACTTTAAAGTTACTTCAATTAACAGTTACATCTTTTATACTCTAAATGCTGATACATCAGTGGAGATTTTTATAAGTTAAAGTTCTTTAAACTATGATTGAAGATGAATACTGATAGGTCAGTTACTGCATAGTTCCATTTTTTCTTCAAGCCTAAGTTCCTTCAGGTTTTCTGAGCTTAACATCAAAGAACAGCTTTGAAGCCCTTTTGATTTCCACATGGACTCTAAACTGAGAGTGCTATCTAAGCAGTAAAAATGATCAACACCTGCGAGAGAAGCCTTTCTTCTCCCAAGACAACTAAGATAATAACTGTCAAATACCTGTTAAATCTCTCAGGTGTTTTTAGGGGAAAAAAAAATGTTTCACAAGCAATGGGTTTCAGTGGTTTCAGCCTAAATGTGTGTGTGCAATGACCAGCTAATCATTTCTTGGGAACTGACCAATTCACCTCACCTTCATACCAACAGAACAGTAATATACTGCAGCATACTGTTTGGGCCAAGGATATTACACAGTGGCAGGAGAGAGGTAAATGTTATGATTACTCCTGTCACTGGAGTGAATTTATTGCATATGCACAAAATGTATGCTGTGTTCTGCTACCTGAAAGGTACTAGAGAAAGTGAGCTGTCTGGAAGGAATTATTGCTATTGTAAGTATCACCCTCTGAAATCTTTACTGGAGTTCTCAAGACAATTTTAGTTTCCCTGGCTCTTTCCCTGATAGCAGAAGCCTGTCTCCCTGCCCCACAGCTGACTGCCACCAAACAAAACAGTCTGTTCAGCCCATGTCTTGCACTGAGGGTCTCTAGGGATGGCAAGGAAGATGAATGGCTGCAGCAGGATCAGTTTGGCCAGTGGACCACAGGATGAACACTGTTGCTTTAGAAGCCACTGTAAAGCCATCTTTTTAGAATGGCAGATTGAATATTTACAAGTAAAAAGAGTAGAGCTTTCAAAGATGGAAATATTCTATGTTATGAAAAGTAGCAATGGCAGCAAATCATAGTAATGTCAGATCCAGTTTATTAGGTTGTTAGAAACTGTTACAATGGGAAGTTTAGTGAGCTGAGAGTTGCCTTGGGAGTACACATGGTATTATGTCTGGAAGTTTAGTGGGGTTTTATGTGTATAATCTTTTATCAGTAAAGAAGCTCTTGAAATTCTACGTCTGTTATGTTCTTAGAGGACTATTTGGTGTCCTTTACTACTAATCTGTACACTTCCTTCCTTGTAATTGAGAAGAGATTTGTACTTATTCAATGTAGAGTTTATACGTAAAACTAAAGACAAACCTCTGCAGTACATGGTCTTGCCACCCACGGTGTTTTTCCTGGCACATGGTTGAGCAAATACACAGGTATTACACATGAGATTTGCATATCTCCTCAAGAGGAGGTGTTCTGGATTCTAACTTACTTTCAGGAAAAATCTCTCTTGATGTCTGTAGTCAGTCCTGTGTTCTCTAATAACTTGTATCCCTTTAACTACCCTATTTAAAATTTAGTCTGTTTTTTCACTTTTTTGTATATGACTACACAGTGCTCAAACATGACTAGTTAATCACTCTTTGCTTCTCTTTTTTGCTCTCCTTCCATAATTCTGGCACCAAGGCTGTGTTTCTGCTTACTGTTCCGCAGTTTGTCTAGTTGGTGCATTTCTGTTATCTTCTATCCTCCTGTTGCCTTCCTATTCTGTTTTGTTGCCTTTTAGGTGTAGGCATAGCTTATTCAAAACAAAGACTTGGAATGATTTGGGCTTTTTTTCTATGTAGCAATAGGGATTTTTTCAAAATGGGAGAGAGAAGCTCAGTCCTAGATGGATGTAGTCTTTTATGATATAGAAAGAAAATAGCATGATTTGTTAGTAAGTAAGCTTTTCCAGAGGTTACCTGTTTAATTTAGCATGTGAAAAAGCTTGCTGCACCATAGATTTCATAGATGCATGTAATGCTTAATTCCTGCATTCATATGAATAGTTGCTGGAAAGAGTCAAACAAAAAAAATCCTTCTGTTTCTATCCAAGATTAATTGATAATTTGTTAATCTTGTAACTTCCTCTGTGACAAAGGTTATGTGACTTTTTTTTTCTAGTTAGGTCTAAAGTAAATTTTGAAATTTAGATTAGCCAAGTGCTGAATAGTTTTGTACATGAATCTTGCCTGTTTGAATTCTAAATGAAAATAATGCACTGCACTGAAAAGCTGTATGTAATCAATATAATTATCCAAGGTAAGTAACTCTTGTGACACACTTAATACAGCCTGGCTTTATGAATTGACAATCCTTCTCAATGTCTTCACAGGGTGCTGATAAGACTGTGAAAGGCCCAGATGGACTAACTGCCTTTGAAGCCACTGACAACCAGGCAATCAAAACTCTTCTTCAGTGACGGATGGACTGATATCTTAAATGTCTCTCCTGTGGCCTCACACTGCTGCCTGTCTGTCACTCTTTGCATCTTCCAGCTTCTTCAGCTAAATACTTTGGGGGGAGGGAAATTCTTTATGAAATCAGACTAGTTAGGGGCTTGTATTGAAGATAATCTGTTTGGAGAGGGTTGGAAACTGTTACAAACAGTGTCCCTCTAGGACTTCTTTTCAGTGCACAATCTCTTCCCATTTCTAGTGAAAATGGAAGAAGGAAGACAGACCATGATCTTGAATTTTTGGCTTGTAAACCTCCTAGGTTAGTACTAAGATTTTTGTGGAAAGATTCCTTTAGATGGAAGTACCATGCTATGTACCTGAAACTAATTGTGAAGGAGACAATAGTCCCATGCTATTAGTGTCTGCCATAATCTGAAGTGTAGTTATGTAGGTGGTTGGGGTTGCTTTTCTCTCTTCTCTCTCAGTGGGTAGCTTTCTTCTTCTTCTGCCTAAAGCTTATGTTGCAGTTTTGAGGACTTTTGATACTAGTTATTGGAGCTGTTCTTTATATTGACTAATTGGATGTCACACTAATGTTTTTCTGACTCTTGAGTAAACCAGGAAAGATCAGTTGAGGCATGGTGGTGTTACACTCCAGAATATCTGCCAAGGTACTTTTGGATGCATGAATTTGAGGTTTTTCTTTCCCATGTTTGTCCTAGTCCAGGACAGACGTTTTAAGCAACTGTCTTTGAAAGAGTTCAGAACGTCACTGTAGTTATTTGCATAAGGATTGTAAGATGAAATTTCTTTACTCACCATGTCCGCATAAAATTTATACACACGTGCGAAAGCTACAGGCTGTTTGGTATGCAAGGATAATCAAGTCAAATGTGGAAAATGAACAGTAATTATTTAGACATTCCTATCAGGTGAATATTGTTGCTAAACTTTTCTGGTAAACTTTTAAAATACATGTAAGCTTTCTAAGTTCAGGTGTTAGGAACAGGAAGACATACAAGTAGAAGTCTTAATTTGCTCTAAGTACTGGAGGGAAAAAAACAACTTTTAATTGTTCATATCTTTGAATCAGTGTTTCATTGTTGGCTGAATGAACCTCTTAAATTTCATTAAGCCATGGGGCTTGTTTTGAAAGTTCCCAGTGCAACCATACCACATTAACCATCAACTTTTAGATAAGATTTACCACACCAGTATGCATGACAGTACTATGACAGCCTTGATAATTCGTGGGAAGGTATTTAATGATGTTGTAGGGATTACCATCACATCTTATGGTCCTCAGGAATGTCTGAGCTTCTGGCTTTCATCTTGAAAATTTTCATTAGACTGCTGATTCACCCAAAACTGAGTAACAGGTTTTGTAACAGAAAAGTGTGTACAACAAACTATACATCTTCCTCTTTTTTGGAATACAGATCTCAAACTTTCTGATAACATACACAATACAGAAAATAAATGTATATAATGTCTCATGCTGAATTCTTAAACAAAAGCAACAATATTATTTTGATATCACTGTTGAAATTGAGAGGATATGTAGAAGTAGGCTGATGACTACCACTCATATTTAATAGAGACTTAGTTTTACTTGAATCATGTTGCATATTATGATTGAATGTCTCGGCTATAAAAAGCCTTGCATTTAAACTGTAAAAGGAGAGCAGAGACTGATTTACATGTACACATCCGATAAGAAAAGCAATGGAGAAAACAATCAACTCTGGCCATAAACTGTACAGTGCAATTACTCTTTGCTTGTTGGAGATGGGTGGCAAGGAAGAGCAGAAAGGTTGGAAATCGGTGATAAATCAATTGGTGAGCTGCTGATAAAAGAATAAGCATGTTTGGTGAACAGTGCTTTTAATGACTATTTAAAAAGAACTCTTTAATCGTATCTCTGATCAGTGCTGGATTGTCATGTCATTGTAATAGCGTGAACACAGACTATAGGTTTAACACTTTATTCAGCTATGAAAGTAACCATCTTTGGCATAAATTTGCCTCCATGTTATGCTATTAAATACTTAGCTATTAAAATACTAGTCTAGAAAACTGCAATCTGTTTTTATGTGGAAAACTTGAATAATCAAGTTTTTTGTGTTGATCAGTGTCAAGTTGTCTGGCCATAGTATTTTTGAGTTTTTTTTCCTCTGTATTCTTTCCTGCCCTTCCCTTCAACTCATTTAATTGAGCATTATCATAGTAAAGGAACATCATCTTTGTACTAACTCTTCTGGTAATTCACTGAGGCAATTTTGCCTCCCTTTTTCTACAATTATGTGGACACCTTATTTTTTCTTACTTCACTTGAGAAAAAAAAAATGCAAACAAACTTCAGTGAGACAAGTGTTAATTTGGCTATAATATATACCCAGGCTGCCTTTCGAGATAGTTAAAAGATGGCATTTAATGTTTGGCTCATAAAGGATAAATACTTTTTTGCTTTTTGCACTACATAAGAGGTGATTGGTCATTTTGCCCAGAATTAAAAAAAAAAAGTAATAATAAAAGCTTATGCTTTTGAAATTGTCTAGAAACTGGGTTTGTTCATTTGTTTCCTTCTTGTTAGCTATATTATGGGAAAAATAACAGGTAGCTGCCTGTACCTTTGAGTAGGTCCTAACTAGATGAAAATACCAAACTGTAAATTATTTTACATTCTATAAACAGAATTTAAATACTTTGTCAGACTGGAATCACATATACTTGGATATCTACTCTGTTCTTAAACCTTTTCCTTTGAAACTTGTGCTGAATAAGTTATAACCTTAAGAATATTTTAGCTTTTGTACCCTCTGCTCCTTTTTCTTAAGGGGGAGCAAATGAGAAAAGTAGTACAATAGTTAAATGGAACTTTATCCTTGAACATAACATTGAATTATTTGTAGAACAGGCTGGAAAGAATGGAGTGTCCTAGGTCAAGCAATTGCAGTGTTGCATGCAAAATTTCAAAATGAACTTGTCTTAATTATATTTTGTAAATGGATAAACAATCATCTTTCTACGCAGTGACGGAAGAAAATTAGTGCTCTGTGCATTTTGATATTTGACTTCCTCTTTTCACCATTGTTAACTGTTTTGACACAGTTGGGTTCATCATTATCATGGTTCATAGACATCAGAATGCTAAATGATACTGTATTTTTAAGTTTGTGTTGCAAGAATGAATGGAATAAACTTGAATTGTGCGATATAAGAATGTGGAGTTTTATTTCCCTTTCTGCTCCTGTGCTTTATTAATCTCTGGCTACAGCTTTTTATTTGCCTGGAAGGCACCTAAGCTCCAGCTCACATATAGTGATTAAAATCTTCAGATACTTACAAGACTTAAATTTGGAATGGAAGCTGCTTTGAGAACTAAATATATTGTTGTTTTTGTTTTTTAATTACATCCATTTAAAATAGGTTTTGATTAATTCTCTGGTCTTGTGGTCTGCATTTCCTGCTTAAATGATAATGCATAATGTTGAAGATCTCTTATTCATGTTAAATTCTAAGAGACAGTTTGTAGATAGAGGGATGTTCCTCCATTACCTGGGAAGACTGAAGCAATTTATTCTCTCCTCTACTTCATCAAAGAAACTGAAACAGTTATTTACAGAAAGCATAGCTGAAATATAAATAAAATGTGTATTCATTATTTTTGTTGCATATTAACAGTGACTTTGTCAGAACTTCCTATTATTACTTTGCTTGTCAGTAGAGATTTAGATCCAATTGCTTGAATTGTTTGATATGATTTATTTTAAAGTATACACTTTTAAAGAAAAAGTAGAGGAAGGTGTTGTATCAAAGTGGGAAAACTATAAATATGGAAAAAATATTTCAAAAGAAACTTAATTTGTCTGTTTCTCTGTGCTAAACTTTGAAAACCGGGACTTCTAATGCCGTGTGCACAACCTTTCAGTCAAATACTGGAAAAAAGAGGGACATGTTCATCATTAATACCAAAGCAGTTCAAACAGTGTGATGGCTAGTGGCAACTGATGTGTGCGCTTCAGTTCTTGTGTTCATCTTATTGGGTTTTTTTGTTTGTTCTTTAATGGACAGCTTTTCTGTAGGAGTAAATACTAACTAAGGTTGAGAACGCAGATTTTTCACTCTCATTCCTCAGTGCCTGGCTAACCAAATTCATCTATATATGTAAACACTTTTCCTAATATTTGTTTATAGCTGATCTTTTGGAACAAATGAATTTCTCAGCTCCCTTCCAAAAGGAAGCTGGCCCCAGAAAGCAATTTTTTCAGTCAGATCACTTGGTTGTTTCTCTGTTTTGAGAAAAGTATATTCTCAAAGCTCCCCTCAAAATATTTTTATTCTACTTATAATCTGAGATCTTGGAACAGCTTTCAACTAAGTTATGCCATAAACTTACTGGATGCATTGTTCGGAAAGCACTTCGTTTCATGTAGTGCCTTGAAATGCTTTAAAAGCGTATACTGTTTGCCTGACTCGGAAGTGAATGATCATTTTTCCTAGCAGCAGCATTCCTCTCTCCCTGCTGTAGCAGTCAAAACAATGTTTCTAATAATTTTAAACTAAGAACAGTTGCATTTAGATACCATTGCTTGCTATTGTGATCTAATGTTAATTTGGAGAGCCTCCTTTCAAATAGGAGAAGTCCTGGAATCTTTTGATTCTTCACTCTTCAAACTGAATTTGGAAAGTACCTGTGTGCACATCTCCATTCTCATGTGTCTTAAATGTCTCTGTTTTCAGGAATGCTGCAGGCTGCTACAGAATACAGGATTCTTTTGTACTTTTCAGTGAGTTCCTGTTTCCACAAATATACCTTCGTTTTGCAACATTTCAAAATTATGAATACAGCCCTTCTTTTTCATGCACTGAGGTTCGTCTCATGGCCATTGAAGTTGAGAGGCAGGACAGTGTGCCACAACCACAATAGACTGCCTGTCTCAATTCGTCTATCAAACTTACAGTTCCTTAAAGGAAAACTTTCTTTCAGTTGTCTCAAGCTGAGCATAAATTTGAAGGATCCAAAACTCAGTCTCAAAAATAATTTCTTGACCTACAATAAGCTTGTTTGGTATATACATAAAATTATTTACCTTTGAAACATTCCTTCATGTGTGTTTCTTATTTTCTTCTAACTGAAAGTAATTCCTCAGTACATTCAGAAGAAACTTCAGTTTGTTCACCAAAGCTTTTGTTTCCAAGTAAAAGAAACCATTTTCTAGTTTGCATCAATGTTTAACTATTTTGCCTCAAAACTGTTTGGACGTGGGAAGTTTTGAAAAGTATGTAGCTTTTAATGGAAATGAAGCTGTACTTCCTCTTTGTTTTTGGAATACACTTTAAGAAATTAAGAAATGTAGCCTTTTATTTAGAGTGGCAGCATATTGTGACAAAAATCCAACCACCCATTTCTTTTTTTTTCATTTCTTTTCAGTGGAAAACCAACAGATATGTTCCAAGTTGACACAAAATGTTTTGGTTTGGTTTTTTTTTTTCCCTCTCCTTCCCCCCCTTCCAAGTTATCAGTGCAGTCACCAAACCAGATCAGTTTTTGCGTGTCCACCTGTAATGATCCAGCTTGATTTCTGTTTAGAGTGCTGATATCCCCGGGAGACCTGCATGATGCCCTAGACTTGTGGAGTGTCTCCTAATCCACTACAGCGCAAGGCAGATGTAGAAGTTTAATTAGGACTAAGATAAAGACAGATAGCTGGATGGGGTTGTTATTACCTAATTCAGCTTCTGCAATGCAGAAGACTTCCCAGTATCTATCTCTTGGCACGCTGAGAGTGAGGATAGCTGCCGTTCTTAAAGACT